ACCTTGTGACCCTGTGACCTCTTACCTTCCTTTGCTTTTTGGCTTTTCTCTATTTCACCATGGAGGCCTTCCCAGAAAACCTATCTGCCCTCTCCTTGCTGAGAATACACTCCTGAATCCCTCTTCAAAATGTACTGTTTTAGACTGTTGTTTGTCTACATTCTTTTACAATTTAATTATTATAGGAAAAATTGCATTTTTATGGACTAGGACTGGATCAGAATACTTTCTGTAAAGTTAGAAAATAGCTTTACCTTTTTACAGCACTCCCATTCAAAAAGAGGAGAAAAAAACAGGATCTACCCTAAGGATAACAAGAGGCTGGGAGAATCTACAGGACATTTAATTTTCCATGAGAAATACATTCCAGCCATCCAAGGGAAAGCAAGCCACCTGTCACAAAGTGAGAGGAAAACAACCAGGTGGAAAAGAAAGAGACAGTGAGAAAGAAGCCTGAGGCAGTCTCATCTGCCTGATACCTCAGGGGTTGCACAGGAAACTGTTTTTTCAAAGCTTGTGGTTGTCATTTTGAAATGCATGGGGCTATAAGTTAAGTTTCTTTAGTACATTTTGGCTTCTGTGTCTCAGACCCCTGAATCCATGTGGCAAATAAAATCTTCTGGAGCCAAGACAAAGTGATTTATTTATTCCAGAAATATTTCTTGAGCTCTTTTGAGCAAGGGTCTATTCTAGGCAAAAAAGGAAAAACAAACACGACAGGGATCTCCTTCAAAGGGAAGGCATGCCCACAAATACCAGCACAGCAAGGATGCAGACAAGAGGCCTAGGGAGCCACAGAAACCAGAGGGAAGGAAAGTCAAGTTCAGATGGGTGGTTAAAAGGCATCCCCCCTTGTCCCAGGTGGCTCTGAAAGGAACTTATCTTGTATACACACTGTGGGATGTGGTAGGTTGTTCTATCAAGCACCCTGTCCAAGCTGAGCTGCAGTCATTTACTGAAAAGAGAAGGAAGCAGGTACAAGTGGTCTGCCACCTGTGATGGGGTAATATATGGACTTTGCAAGAAGATATCACCAGTTCCTCCTCAGCTGTTTCTCCTAGCAAGATCAAGTGTGAAAATACCAAAAGAAAAAGATAGGAGCCTTGCTTTATTTATGTATTCATGAAGCACTCAAATAATACATGTTTTAAAAGAGATATAAAGGAGACAGAATTTGAGGAAGAAAGGAAATCTTCCCTCTTTTCACCCCCACCTGTGCCCTCATTCTGGTCCAAGCCACCTCACCACTCCCTGCGGCTGCTGCAATAGTCTCGCCTTGGGGCCCCTAGCTTCTGCCCTTATCTCTATGATCTGTTTTCAGTAGAGCAGCAGAGTGATTTTTTTACATGTATTCATTTCCTACTCCTGCTCTGGCAAATATCACCACAAACTTAGCTGCTTTGAACAACATAAATGTATTATCTTATTATTCTGGAAGTCAGAAGCCCAAAAATGGGTTTTATGGGGCTAAAATCAAGGTGTTTCAGCAGGACTGAGTTCCTTTGGAGGTTCTTGGGGAGACTCTGTTCCCCTCCTTTTCCAGCTTCCAGATGCTGCCCACATTCCTTGGCTCATGGCCATGTCACTCTGACCTCTGCTTCCATTGTCACATCACCACCTCCAACTCTCCTGTCTTCCTCTTATAAGGACCCTTGTGATTACATTGGGCCCATCTGGATAATCCAGGTAAATCTTCCCAACTCAAGATGCTTAATTTAATTCTATCTGCAAAGTTCCTTATCCCATGTAAGGTAAAATATTCATAGGTTCCAAGGGTTAGGACATGGAGATATGGAGGCAGAAGGCATTACTCTGTCTACCACAAGAATCATCTTTTTTCTCTGCTCAAAACGGCCAATGGCATTTCATCTCAAGACAGAAGTGAGTTTTTACAAAGGCATTCTGGGCTCTGCTTGATCTTCACACATTCACCCTGTAACATCTCTAAACTCAAACTTCTACTAGAAACAGACTTACCATGAAGCCAGTGATGCTTAAGCTTCAGCTCAACCCCCTGCACTTTCCATTAGTAGCCTAGTAGCCTAGAAATGTGTTTGCGTTTTGTTTTTCATTTGCAAAAATAAAATATTTTAGGCACAAGAGGTAAGATCATTACCTCTTCCACTCTAATTTCCCCCCATCACCCTTTGTCTCATATCAGATGGTGTTGGGATCCTCCTCTCTCATACTCAAAAAAAAAAAAAAATCATGTCCTTTCCCCTCTGGACACCAATAGTTACTAAAGTGTAGAAGAGACCCCATTAGCCAATACTAGCTCCAAAGTTAAGAGAGAGATTTTTGTGAAGCCAGCACTGTCTTAAGTATGTCACTGATGGGTCAGTAATAACTGGCACTTCATTGAATTGGTTGCATGATTTTGAAAAAACTAGGTCCAATTTTACACACAAATTACTATAGTAGACAAAAAGCAAGTTTAAACAAAAACTGAATCTTTCACAAGTGTAACTGAAGAACCACTTGAGAAACAGCTTTTGGATTTGTTGTTGTTCCATAAGGGATAAACTCAATGAGAAATAATACTCCTTAAACACATCTATTAATACACATGCATGGACTTTCATAGACATTGATATGGTACATGTAAGGCTAGGTTCCATGTCTTATTCATCTTTTTTGTCACCAGCCCTCTACTGCAGGACCATCTCAGTACACACTAAGTAGTGTATGCTCAAAAAATGTCTGAGAGACAGATACATAAACTTCAACAAAAAAAACTGCCTCATTTGTAGGCACAGTAGATGCAGTACCTCGTGTCCACAGAATTTTTAGGGGCACACAAAAATGTTTAAATTTTCACACATTTTAAGATCAGAAGAAAACAAATATAATAGTAATGAGTACATAATAATGAATTTGATCTGGATTATATTGTCTTTATACACACAATCATAAAATATAATTTTTAATATTTTTTGGAGGAAGGGCCCACAGAAGATACAACTGTGACACTAGCCTGATTTCCCCCACCCCATACCCCACACCCCACACCCCACACCCCACACACATACTAAGGGCTTCTCAGTGGAATGATGTGTGTGGGCTCCACAACCCCCACATTGTGGACTCAAGAGCAGCTTTAATTAGTTTAAAGAAAGCCTCTAATTATCTACTTCATTTGCTCCCCTTGTTACCAAACTACATAAAATCTGAATTTTATGAGCAATGCTCTTGTTGATTGCTTTGGAGAAAAGCACATATATGCTTTAAAATGATTTGTCTTCAGGCCTCACATCAATGTACACAGAAGGGGTGAATTATAAAGCACAAACAAAATAGACTATAACTGTGTTTTAAATATTTGAGTCAATTAGCTAGAATTTTTCACATCTTGAAAAATGTGAGACTTATAGAAATGTGGAGATAATAAATAATAAATCATATCTGGGAGAAAATAATTGTTCCCCACACCATGACTGGCTTGTTATACTTTCATATACATCATCAATGGCCTAAGCTTCCTGATGATGTGAAATTTTGTGTAAATGTGAGTACACTTTAATTAAAAGCTGAAGACATTATGTATCTCATTGAGGTAAAATTCCACTTCTGCATGGTTTTTCCCCTGACAACCCCAGGATAATTAGAAGACCTCTAGTCTGTGCTCCTCTGGCAAATATACCACTTTCAGTGTTTAGTAAACCCTTTTTAAGTTATCATTGTTACTATAAACTTAACAACTGTGTGAAGATACATGTATTTTATTGAATCAGAAAAAGCTTCTTGAAGTCAAGAAAGGTCAGCCCTACCTCCCATATCATGGAGGCTCAAAAACATTTGTTGACTGGCTGTATGAGCAAAGGGATATTTTAGGTTATGAAAGCTCTCCAGTCTATTACCAGCTCTACAGGAACTGATATAACCTAAAGGTGCATCATTCACAATCATGATGATGCAAATGATACACACAGATGTCAGTCCCTCAAGTCATGTGGCCATTGTAACAAGTCCAAAAGGAAGGGGTTGATCTCAGCTTTCTGTGCAAGTCAGTGCCCAATCAGACTCAGCTATGTCACCAAAACATATCAAACCCTGCAACAATAAACCTTATTGGAAACTTGTCCCAGTTAAAGCTAATATTCATGCTATTAAAATTATTCTTGTGATTTGATATAAATAAATCATTTCATTTGAAAAAGAAAAAATGATGACAGTTATTTTAAACTCTTAGATTGGCATTGGGAATATGAAAATATTGCCCTAGAGGGTACAACTAATGACCTCTGGGTAGGAACTACATTGAGACGGATTTCAGCTCATTATGCAGCCCAAAACGGGAATGGACTGCACCTGTCAGAGATGTTATTAGATGGAGGAACAGTGCATTTGATAAACTCTAATCCAGCCTTTAGTCCCTAAAAAGTCCATGGTCAGATATAAAGACAGTAGCAGTGATTAATTGAATACATGTGCATTAAAGAAAAATTGCATGATGAGCTGTCACTGACAAACTAGAGGCAAAAAAGAACACCAATACAAAATCTGGCTGAAATGCTATATTAAAGAGAGTGAAACATTATTAAAGCTGTTCAGCTAGACCAATTACCCAACAACAACAACAAAAGTGTTTCCTGCCATCATGAACCAAAACCATTTCTAACTATGTGGTCTGTTTCAAATATTGGTGTATTCACACAATGTAATATTGCTTTCAAAAAAAAAAATAAAGGACAAACTACTGACACTTGCAGCTATATGGATGTATGTCAATAAGCCTTACACTGAGTAAAAGAAGCAAGACAGAAGACTATGTGCCATGTTATTTCATTCATGTCCGTTTCAAAAACAGGCGAAACTAAGCCAACAGAAATCAGAAGATGGTGTGTGGAGTACAGCGAGCACGAATGGAAAGGGGCATAAGGGAACTTCCTGGGTGATAGAAATGTTCTCTACCTTGTTTTTAGTTCTCCTCCACAAAGTAAAATTTAATTTAATTTAAAAATCATATTTACTCTGTATGATTTAAAGAACCCAATACTTACCCAGTGGTTTCTTTTTACTGCAGAACATTACTGCACTGGTGATTTTTCACCAGGCCCCAACAGTTGGCCTACACAAGAAAACAAGAAAATTATACAAAGTTAGTATTTGAAAATTGCTCATTAACCATAACTTTCCATCCTTTAACTTTCTTCCCAGTCAAATCTAGGTGACTAAGAAGCCATTGGCCCCACAAGAATAACAGATTGCATGTATCTGGCTTAAATCTAACCAGATAAGAATAATTCCATAAAGGCTGTATAGGCAAATGGAGGGTAAACACAAGTGTGCCATATAACTGGGCACTAACTGAGCCACATTTTCTAATATATCCCAAACCCTAGGAATCAGAATATTCAGGAGTGAAGCTCCACATTCTGCCTTTTTATTTTTCAGTTCCAGTTGACATATGATATTAGTTTCAGGTACACAACATGGTAATTAGACATTTATACAAGCATCTGTTTTTTATCCAAGAGCTATAGGTGATTCCTTCCCACAGCTCGAGCTAGAAACCACTGCTAAACCGTGGGAGTTACCTGTGACAGAAAATTATTCACCAGGCTCTAGAGAAACAAAATATAATTCAAAAGTCTTCCTCAATTTATTCTCATGTGTATAGTCTTCTTCAGGTAATTACAAAAAAAAGAATAATGTCATTGTTATCTTTCACTTTTCTCCTATTTGTGGTCTAATTTCTTTCATGTGGTAAATTCTATGAAAGATTTTAAATAAATAAATAAATACATAAATAAATAAATAAATAATTTTTTTAAGAAAGCAAAATAATGATTTAGAACCTCACAGACCATGGAAATGAACTCAGGCATCTTAGCAAATACTTGACAATGTAGGCAGAGGTACTGAGTGCATGTTCTTTCAGTTGGAAAGGGAAATGACTTGTCTGCTGCCTACTCAAAGATGTGGTATGGCAGAATGCAGTAAACGTACTTAAAGAGGCAGGTCAGTCATATGGAGACCAAAAAAGAGGAAGAACAATCCTTATGGCCTAACTAGTCACAAGACAAGAGCAGGCAGGAAAGTTTATCAACACTCATTGCTGTACTATAAATCTTTCAGAGTCTAAAAAGCCGGAAACCATCGATCATTCTCCTGGCCACACACCCCAGATCCATGAGTTCCCATTCACTACTGCGAGGGGGGGTGGGGTCAGTGGGGTGGGGGGGTGGAAACAACAGCCTGCTGAGAGCACAGCCACCCCTGGGGTATGCCTGACAAGTAGGGCCATGACATTGACATTTTGTGGAACCCCTGCTTATCTAGGGACCAGTTACTAAAACTGATAAATCTGAGCAAGAAGATGGGGATACTGCTGCCAGGTGCTGCTAGAAGCAGGGACAGGTCCTCAAATATATAACTCTTTTGTTCCTTCTCCCACATCTTCTACCATCTGCCACCAAGGCTGCCCAAGACAATCCCTGCTTCCCCTCTTCATGGCTCCCCCCACCCCAGCCTCTAGGACGCGCCTGTGACCAGTGATTGCTCTTTCCTTGCATTCCTCTCAGCAGGTTTCCTTGCTCCAGCCTTGGCCACCTGTAGACCAGGGTCCACAGTGAAGCGAGAGTCATCCTCATAAAACATAAACGACATCATGTCATGACTCAGCTTAAAAACCTCCAGTGGGATATAGTGCACCTCCAACTAGTCTTACGAAAAAAGATCAAATTCTAACATGATTTTTTGGACCCTCTGCAACCTGGTCCCTGCTTGTCTTTCTAGCCTGATTGCTGATCACTCTCTTCACTGCCCTCACTCCTCCTTGCACCCTCTCATGTCTATACTTCTTTCTGTTTGAGGGCCTTCACACTTGTTTTTCCTTCTGTCTGTTACCATCTAACCCCATCTCCAACCCTCTCACCGGACTACCTCTTACTCATGTTCCAATTCAACTTATGCACCACTTCCTCTAAAAGGCCTTCCTAGTGCCCCAAATCAGAGACAGGACCACCCCCTATGTGCTCCCAGAGAATCCAGAGCTTCCCATTTCAGAGCTCCCATAACTCTAGAACATATATCCCTGTCATACTGGCTGTGTCCCCATTAGCCCACAAACTCCAGTAGGGCGGAGACCTCATCTGTCTGGCCCATAGTTGTATCTCCACTATCTGACATGTAGCAATGCTTAACAAGCCTGGCCTATAGACATGCTCAGTAAACATTTGCCAAATAAAAAGCTTACCGATGTCCTCAATTTCAAGGAGGAATGGAACAAGGGCTTCCCAGTGCTAAAAGGCACTTCCTGTTTAGCAACTATCCCTTCCCAGACCCCAGCCCCAAGTGCCAAAATGTCTTAGACCTTCCCAAGCTAGGGGTCATCGTGGCTTTCTGGGCTGCTCCCTCCCTCTGACTGGTCCCCATCCTCTTGTGCACCCCCATATCCACCCTAGGAATAATCTCAAAGGATGATGAGCAATATTTGGTTAACTATAGGAAGAGTGTTGCAGGTAAATTGAAGAGTACAAGAACAAAGAGGGAAATGAGCAAATCTTGGGGGAGAAAGACAAGAGGAGGAGGGGCTCTGACTATAACAGAAGATTCACAAGAAGGATTTTTTAAGGTGAAGTTTTCCTGTGAGGAGTAATATGGACAAATGTGGGGTTTTGTCCATGAAGGGCTCTCTCTGTCCCAAAATTTTTTAAAAAGGTCACAGCAACAGATACAAATGGCAACAGGGAGAGGGACGAATGAATTCTGTGACAATGACATCTGGATCTGGGGGCCCCATCTGGCCAGAAGATTAAGGCTCATCAGCAAGTTCTAAGCCAACTTGTTAGGGCTTGAAAACTCTCTCTGGGGACTAAGTGAACATGTTCTGTTTTCATGGACTCAGAGTCCCTGGAGCAGGTGAAAGAAAGTGATTCTTTAAGCAAGATGGCAAAAGGGAATCTATACCCTGACAAGTGGTGATGAAAATGTAAGCAGAAAAAAGTTCAATCTCTCGGGAAGTTAATAAGAGTACTGGCCAATGGCCAACTTATTCTTTCTCCTTATTGGTTTGCTAGATTGCTTTGAGGGATAGTACTAACAGACAACCAGTACAAAAGATGAACCTAAATATATATGCGTAACATAAAGGTAACTAAGGAGAAAATATCCACGTAACCCTTTCCCTCTCTTACATTAGATCCTCTTATAAGAACTCATTTTAATCAAACATAAAGCCATATCATATTCTTCCTAAAATCACCTTTAAGTCATACAGTTATTTCATTGCTTTTACTTTCTCTAATACCATTTTCAAAGTATCTTTGAAAACTTTTATTTTAAAGACATTGAAAAAGTCCATTTTTTAAATTTTAGCCATTTTTACTTTTGTACAAAATATTCTCTACTTCATAATTAATCCAGAGTAATGATACTGTTGTATGAATTAAAAAATACTTCTATAAGATTCATGAAAGTTATTTCTTATTAATGATCTCATTCAACTGTTTTTACTCTCTGAGACATAAAGTCACAACAAAATTTAAGAGTTGCCATCCAGAGCTGTCCTTTTTCCAATCCCATCTTTTCCTTGGAACAGCAGCAATTCGGGCGTATTCAGGGAAGAGTCATGACTAACATGACTGATTCTAGTTTCACTTAGAGGACGTAAAATATAGGTCTTCCATTCTTGCACATTTATCAACTCACCAAAATACACCAGCTGGCACTTGCTTCACCTCTAAAGGATGTTGAAGTAGAGAAAAAGTCATCTTTTGTTGAACTTTTGGATCAGTGAAGGTCTAAGGAAACAGAGTAAACAAAACCAGGTAAGAGAAAGGGTAATCTAGCTCTAGAAACAGGAATTGAGGATTTTGAAATCCAACCATTCACAAGTGTTGAAGCAAATAATATTTACATGAGCACATTCCTTCTTTTTTGAAATCACCCCAAAGCAGAGGAAATAAAAAAAGGAAAGCTGCTGGCCAGGTCATATCTCACCCTTGATTTCATCTTATGTTTGGGATTAAAATGGTAGTTTCCTTGTGTGAAAGTCCTTGGGGGTTTAGAAGAAACAGGGGTATGGGAAAAGTAAGAAGACAAAGGAGTAGCTAGAAAATAATAACTATAAGCTTTACATTTATTAATTGATTTAAAAATGCAATGGGTTCTTTTTAAAAAAAGATTAAAAGTTATACTTGCATGAAAAATTTATATTTCTTTTTACATTTCAAGTTCAGGTTTTGACTCTTGGTCACAGAATATAATCCTTCTAATGGAAAAATATGGCTCCATTTTGTTCAGGGAAAATAAGGAGTTGCTTTCAGGCACCTTGAAATTGGCAGTGATTACAAGACACCCAAGGTGAAGCAGTATAAGAGGGCATCCTCACTATATTGTGATTCCACAGGGAGGTCCCAACTTCTAATGAAAATTGGTACTCCCAGGCAATTCAATGCTATAAGCAAACAATTAAAATGGAGATACCCATCAACGATTTGAAGCCATTCAAAAATCAAGTTATTATAATTAATTCCCCCTATTCCAATTCCATGATCGCCAAGCTACCTGCTGATAATAATTTGCTTCCCACAGAAACCTGTCTATAGGGAAAGAATGCAGTGGTCCCGCATGCTGAAGTGAATATGCCGATGCTCCTTACATTATACATTTTAAATTAGTACATTGTTATTTTTATTGTATGCCATCAGTCTCCTGAGCTAATATTAGTCTGCCCGAGAAAGATAGATCTGGTTTGAATATGCTACTGAAGTATGGTCCAAAGTCTACAGAACAACCCACTCTGACCATAGTAAACTCACCAAGAGGCCTCCAAGGGGACAACCTACTGACCTGCTCAAGAGGCAACAGGATGTGGTGACTGGAAGCTTGTCCTTTAGAGTCAAACAGCCTGTTCTTGGATTCCTGTTTTTTCCACTAACTTATCATGGAATTAGGGCCAATAAGCTCTGTAAACCTCAGAACCTTCCCCAAGGGGCTGCTGGGGACAGAAGGGGCATACAATGAAAGTGTATCATATTACTTATCTTTAAGGCAGCCCTCTGAACATTCTTTGTCACAGTATCTACATAAATGTTAAGATGAGGACAATGAATGTAACTCCCTCAAGACATTCTGCAGTAAAATAAGGGAGATGGGTGTAAAGAAGTAATGAGACTTTAAAGAGAAGATGTGTTTACAGTAGGAAGACAGAGCCATGGGGATAAACTGAGGAAGCAGAACTAGTAGAAGGGAAAAGATTGAACCTATGAGGTTCAGTGACAGAAAGGCAAAGGAATTGGAGATGGGAAAAGAAAGGGAAAAGGAAGGGGCCAGGGCAGTTGGGGAAGACCAGAGCAGTTGAAGCCAGGACAGGAGAGCAGCATGGAGCAGGCTCTTGGCAGCTCTCTCTGTACAAGTACAATCAGATGAGCCCCTCCCTGCTGTGCTTCATCTCAGAGTCTCGGGAAGAACTGGAGTGTCCCCACTGGGAGGAATCCTCTACTTCCTTTGAGTAGTGGTTTCTCTGCAGTTCTCAGGACTCAGGGACAAGATGGGCCAAGGGGAAAAGGGACCCATCTAGCTTCAGTTCTGCTTGCCTTTCTCTTTCCCCAACTCTGTTTTCTCTTCCCCTCTGGAGACATTATATTATACAGGAGAGACTTTTAGGATAGCAGGATTCCAGTCCCAGCTCAGTTATTTTCCATCTAGTGTTCCTTTGGCTGAGGCACTTCTCCCTCCCTAAGACTCAATCTATGAATCTATAAAATAGAGATAATAATGCCTTCCTCCCAGAGGTTTTGTGAGGTTAAATACACATGTATATACAGTCATTCTTTAAAAGTGTTCCCTCCCCTTTTTTCCTCCTCCCCAGTCTGTCTTTCCTACTCCCTACCTTTTTTCCTCTTCCAGTCTTTCAGTTTCCCTTCTCCGTTTCCCCAACTTCCCTTTGTATTTCTCACTACAGCACTTGCTTTCCAAACCAACACACCTCTCTGAGGACTGACCCAAATAATAGTGGAAAAGAGGGGGGCTTTCTGGGAGGCCAGCACCAGGGTGAGTTTAGGCGACCCTTGAAAAGCCCACCTGCTTGAGCAATAGTGGGGTCTGAGGTTGGGAAGCTGCCATGGCAGGATTAGGGAGCCAGCTTCTTCTCCCCTCAGGATGCCCTCCATCTTCTCTGGTCCTGCCCCTGCCCTTTCCTCCCGCTGGCCCTAGGTGCCCAGAGGCTGAAAAGCAAAGTCTCATGGAGTCCTCCCACCCCTAAACACTGCAACCTTGCAGTCATATGTACTGGCACATGCCTGCCAGCCCAAGAATATTCCCCGAGTGGCCCAGGGCCAGGCCCCTGAGGGACGAGGGTGCTGAAGCACAGCTCTAAGACCCCAGGGAAGGGAGAGTTTGGTGGGGCAGGGAAATCTCAGCCTTGGAAGGTAAGACCAAAGAGAGATAAGGAATCAGCCCCAGCCTTTGTCCGGCAAGTGTTCAGCTTTGAGTGTGATGCAAGGGTGGAAGGTGTAGATAATGTTTTAATCATATATGATGTCAGTGACAGTGGCCAAGAGTCACAGTGCTTACAGATAGTAGACATTGGGCAAAAATAGAAGTAAAAAATTTAAGCCAGTCTGTGTGTATATATGTATGTTCATAAAAGTGATTGTTAGTACAGCCAAATTTATAAATTGCTTAGCAATTATATCTAACTACCATGCCTCCACAATAAATTACTCTATTTCTCATATAATATATATCAGATTGATTTTGTTGTGAGTTGTCATGTCAACACTGAAGTCTGTTTATATTCTGTTAGGCATGCAGCTGTTATCCAGCCACAAAATTCTAAAACAGTGGGAACTCTGCTTCCCTTCCTCCCCTTGTTTATCCCCTGCTTATTTTCCAACTTAGTCTCCTAGTTTCCTTTTCTCTTTCCTTTCGCCTCCTTTCCTAGCCTGCTCTCACTGCCTGCCTTGTGTATTTTCACCCTCCACTTTGTGCTGCCTTTCTCTCCCAGTCAGGCCTCCCCTGACTTGGTCATCTTCCTTCCCCTTCTCACTTCCCTATTCATGCACCAGCGGTAGAGTCAGAGGGCTGGGTTTGGTCTTGTAGCTCTGTAACCTCCAGCAAGCTCCCCTCCCTTCTAAGCCCTGGTTCTTTCATCTGTAAACAGGGACAATCAGGGCAACTTAAAGGATCATTCAGCAATCTAAATCAGGCCTTGCCTATAAAGAAATGAGCACTATAACTCCTGCTAAAAAGTTAATACTCAAAAAAGAAAGCTCTTATTTTTACGTGCAGTTTTAACTCTCCACAAGTAGAAAACCTCCTGTCAAATTTGAGAGCCATCCCTACTGATGTTCAATCATCAAACACTTATCAGGTGCCTATTCTATGCCAAACCTGGGCTGGGTAGAAGGAGGTAAGGAGGATTAGGCTCCATCTCTGCCCTTCAAAAGCCCATAGTCTGGGGTAGACAAGACACAAATACATGGAAGAATCATTGGAATGACAAGGGCAGGCCTATGATAAAAGGGGGAACTGAGAACTGTGGAGTAGGAGGAAAGGGAGTCACAAAGCCTGCTTTGCAGAGTCTGCTAAGACTTCACAGATGGAGATTCCAAGTTGAATCCTTTTGAAAGAAAAAGAAGAGTTTGCTCAATAAAACAAGGTAAGGACAGGTGAAAGGAGCAATGTGCACAAAGATCGAGTGTTGTGAAAGACAAGAGAAGGTCTGGGGAGCAGTGAAAGTCATGACAACCAGATTGTAAGGAGCTTGGAGAAATGTGGTGTGGTGTGGGGCTGGCAAAAGAGATAAGAGGTGGATTCTGAAAAAAGTCATCATCTTCATCATTGTCATCATCATTACTATCATCTGCAGTACTTGACCTCATGCTAAGCACTTGACATATGTCATCTCATTTAATCCTCACCAAAACTCTATAGTCTGGGACTGCCATTATCTCTATTTGATAAATGAGGTGACCCAAAGCATCACCATGGTCAAGAGCCTGTGGTTGATCCTGCAGATAACAGGAAGGCAGAAGAGGTCTCTCCATAGAATATATGATTAGATGCAGCCCCCTTGTCCATTCTCTTTGCTCCCTTGTGTCTCTCTATGCAAGCGCATGCTGTCAGAGGTCTTAGGAAGATTAGTCTCACAACACGGACTGGCATGGAAACAGATGGGGGAGCAGTGGCAACAGGCAAGTGGAGCTAGATTCTAGCAATGTTGCTGCAGTTGAATTGACAGTTTCTAAATGGCGCATGTGTTAGAGTGAAGAACAAGGAATAATCTGGGGTGACTTTCAAGTTTTTCACTTGGGACAATGAAGGGATAGAGGTGCCATTATCTAAAATGACAAAGACAGCAGTGAAGGGAGAAGAAGGGGAAGCTGTAGGAGCAAGAGCAGGAACTGGGGTGGAAGAATGAGTTCAGTTTCAAAACATGAAACTTGTAATGCCTCTTGATTGTTGAAAATAGTCTCCTCACTAAAGAGAAAACACAGATTTGTAGACTTGGAATCAGTATGTAAGGAAATGCTGATGTCATGGGGAATGAATGATCTCACTCAGGAAGAACCAGAATAAAGAGAGGTGAGGAGAGGACAGAGAGTGAGGATGAGTCAACAAAAGGACGAGAACAAAGTCCTAGAGGACACTCGACCTCAAAAGAAGGGTCATAGAAGGATACACGGAAATGAAATGCTGTGGCTTTCCTAACTGTGCCCTCATCCTCCAGCACCAGCCCAGAGCCTGGCAAAGGGTCAGTGCTCAACACCCTGGAGCAGAGTAAAGAAAAGGAGAGAAGAAAGAAAGGTGACTTCAAACTAGGGAAGGAATGTGTTTCCAAAAATAGTCATCAATAACATTTAACATTTACACTTAGAAATTTATTTGTGAATACTTTAAAAATGTGCAATATTGCTAAGAAGTTAGACTTGAGGCATGTGCTATATAAATGTGTAACATTTAGAGATCACCATGTTCTATTTTTCATGAGAAATCTGAGAAAAAACTAGCATGCAATTCTTATACATGCCATACAAGTATTTAGAATGCATACATTCATGAAGAGAAAACAATAAAAATAAATTTTAAAAAAGAAGTTTTACTTCAAGGAGAGCTACAATTTCCACTTTACTTGAAAGGATATGTTGAGTCTAAATGAAAATTCCTAGTTGACCAGGTAAAAACAAAATAAAATCCCCCTGTGCAAAAAAATAAATCTGCCAGAGGCACAAAAAAATCACTTGTCCCCTTCTTGTTACTGATGCATGCTTCATAGAATTATATAAAAGCACAAGATAAATAAGTGTAAGTTAAAAATTACTCTGAATTTACATGTTGCAGTAAAGATACTAACAGGGAGCAATACCTGAGCAAAGGTAACAGCCCATGGGCACAGGTGTTGGGACCACACAGGCAATAAATACTGTATTTCCCCATCCTCTTTCTAATACTTCAGCCCCCAATTAATGTTTCTTGCCTGTTTCATTTTTCTTCAAAACAGCTCATTGTTAACCAGGGACCTGAGATTCCCCCATGTCTATCAACAAGACAGCTAGAAGAATCAATGTTTTCTGTTCTTACCAACCTCAACACTGCAAACTTATGCCTCAAGTCTCACTTGACGGCAAGCTGTTATGTCCAAAGCATGAACTGACCACAGGATAAACAACACCTTGAATAGGTGCACTAGATACAAAACCCCTAAAAAAAAAACAGCTAAAACCAATTCCTACCAGAGGAAGTGACAAATACGCACAAACCAAGAAAAAAATAGACATTAACGGTACTCCCATTGTCATTTAATAGGTGATCATAACAGGATTTAAAGAATTTTTCAACTTCAAAGAAAATGTCCTATTTCCCAAACCCAACTAACTTTTCCCCAAAATTATTTTTTAATAAGAGGAGAATAACAAAGATTATTTGCTAAGTCTGACCACACAGAAGATAATACAGCAACCCAGAAAAGAGAAAGAGAAAGCCCCACACAACACAAAGCTAGCCCTCCTCTCAGGCTCACCAACCCATGAGAGCTCCCCACTGACTCACCTCAGCCTGGACTTACCTCTCTCCCCCGGAGGGGAGGTTTCCCAGCAGTGCAAGAAGATCAAACAGGTACTCATTCCATGACCATATCAGTGAGAAAAGCAAGGCTATTACAAAAGCTTTAGTAATTACATAGAAAACAAGCTAAGTCCCTAGGGGACATTCTTGAAAACCTGAGATCACCTCTGGGAAAAAGACTCTTGACCACTTACCACTACCTGAAGCTGCTAAGTGGCAGATCAGAATCAGCACCTCCTCAGAAAAAGAAGACGTTGTAGGAAAGCAGTTTCACTACCAGTGAGGGATTGGGGGAGAAAAACGCTCCTTGGAAAAAATACCAAAAGCCCAGAAGAGTCTTTCCTTCGGTAGTTGCCTGTTGCTGCCACAAGGGCAGAACTGGTTAATCTTGGAGAAACAAAAGGAAGCTCCCTAAAGACTGATTTCGGCCTCTGAGGGAACCAAGAGTTCAGAAGGATGTATGAGGACAACGGAAGGAGTGACCAGCTACTTACTATTCCTGCTTACCAAACTTTTATCAGTCCTTGGCTGAGGGAGATAAGCAAACATCTTTGGAGCTCCCACCTGTTTTTCCCAGACATGAAAGAATCAGCAATAATTTACTTGTGTGTTTTTCTAATCATTACAAGGCAAGTTCAAACTCTCTTACAGATGAAAGCTAAGCACACTCGAGCAACATTTAACACGCAGAGCAAAGACACTACTTGTTTCCCAACATCCTTAACTCAGCTCAGAGGAAGCAATTAACTCTGAGGATGCCAAAGAACAAATGCACATAGGAAAGGGATTTAACTTTTTAGTTCAAAATTGCTTTGACAGTTCTGGTTTTTAAGAAGGGATTAGATGAATGCAAAATATTTTGGTTTGTGACTATTTTTAAATGAAAGGATTATAGCTCCTTTTAAACTTGTCTAAAGCTGAGTGTTTTTATCATAAATGGGCACTGTAGCTTATCAAATGCTTTTTCCACATCTATGGATATGATCACATGATCTTTGTCTTTCCTTTGGTTTATGCAATGCATTATGTTTATTGATTTGCAAATATTGTACCATCCCTGCATCCCTGGGATGAATCCCACTTGATCATGGTGTATGATCTTTTTAATGTACTGCTGGATGTGGTTTCCCAGTATTTTGTTGAGAATTTCAGTGTCTATATTCATTAGTGATATTGGCCTCTAGTTTTCTTTCTTTGTTGTGCCAGTATCTGGTTTTGGAATTAGGATGATGCTGGCTTCATAAAAAGCATTTGGGAATCCTCCTTTTTCTTGGATTTTTTTGAATAGTCTAAGAAGGATAGGGGTTAACTCTTTCTTAAATGTTTTGTAAAATTCTCCTGTGAAACTATCCGACCCAGGGCTTTTGTGTGCTGGGAGGTTTTTTATTACTGCTTCAATTTCTTTTCACTAGCTGTTATAGGTCTATTCAGTCTCTCTGCTTCATCTTCATTCAATTTTGGGACATTATATTTTTCTAGAAATTTGTCGTTTCACCCAGGTTTTCACATTTTTTGGCATATTAGTTGTTTGTAGTAATTTCTTACAATCCTTTGTATTTCTGTGGTATCAGTTGTAATCTCTCTTCTTTCATTTCTGATTTTTTTTATTTGGGTCCTCTTTTTTTCTTGATGAATCTTCTTAAAGGCTTGTCAATTTTGTTAATCTTTTCAAAGAACCAGCTCCTGGATTTATTGATCATTTGGATTGTTCTTTTAGTCTCTAAGTGGTTTAATTTTGCTCTGATCTTGGTTATTTCCTTCCTTCTACTTGCTCTGGGCTTTATTTGTTGTGTTGTTGTTGTTTTCCAGTTCTTAAAGATGTAGCATGAGGTTGTTTATTTGAAATCTTTTTTAGGTAGACCTGTATCACTATCAACTTCCCTCTCAGGACTGCCTTTGCTGTGTCTCATAGGTTTTGGACTGTTGTGTGTTCATTTTCACTTGTTTTCAGAAACTTTTTTATTTCTTCCTTCACACCAGTGATAATGGCCATCATAAACAAATCAACAAACAACAAGTGCTGGCAAGGTTGTGGAGAAAAGGGAACCCTAGTGCACTATTGGTGGGAAAGCAGACTGGTGCAACCACTGTGGAAAATAGTATGGAATTTCTTCAGAAAACTAAAAATGGAACTGCCTTTTTACCCAGCAGTTCCACTGCTGGGATTATACCCTAAGAGCCCTGAAACACCAATCCAAAAGAACCTATGCACACCAATGTTCAGAGCAGCACAATTTACAATAGCCAAGTGCTAGAAGCAACCCAAATGCCTACCAATAAATGAGTGGATCAAAAAACTGTGGTACATTTACACAGTGGAATTCTACCCAGCAGAAAGAAGGAGCTACTACCTTTTGCGACAGCATGGGTGGATCTGGAGAGCATTACGCTAAGTGAAATAAGCCAGGTGGTGAAAGACAAATACCATATGATCTCACCTGTAAGTGTAACCTAATCAGCAAAACAAACAAGCAAGCTAAATATAACCAGAAACACTGAAATAAAGAACAAACTGACAGTAACCAGAGCGGAGGGGGAGAGGGATAATGGAGGGAAATAGGGAAGGGCCCGTCAAGGAACATGTATAAAGGGCACATGGACAAGCCAAAGGGGGTAGGTTCGAGGGTGGGAGGTAGGGATGTGTGGGGCAGGGCTATGGTGGGGTGAAAATGGAGACAACTGTACTTGTACAATAATAAATAAATTTGTCTAAAACCATTTATGGATTTTCCAGATGTTGCATCAGATTTACAGTTAAGTACTGAAATCAAATATGTTTTAATTATGTCTGTATCACCAAGCAAGATGAGCCCCTGTGCTTTGTCAGCTCCGCCATTCTAGAACATTCTGGTACTGAGCACTCAGTTGTCCACAGCACCAGATCAGAGAGAAAGAACAGCCTTTCCCTACCAAGACTTCACAGTCACAAGGAACTGCAGATTCATGAAACAAGGATGACAACTTTCTTCCTTGGATGATATAAAGCACCAAGAACAGCCTATGTAATGAAACAGTTGTTTCTTTAAAATATTTAAAATGGAAAATTCTTAAATTAAAAAAATTAGGTACAGGCTCTGTACTTTTTTTGATTTATCATATTGGCAACTATTTTAATTTTAGTAATTCCCTTTGTTGAAGAAGATATAAGGAGATCAGTCTCTTTGTCTACACTGTTAGTGGGAGTAGAAATTGGTAAAATATTTTTCAAGAGAAACTAAATAGTGCCTTTAAATAGAGAAATATGTGTTTCCATCTCTTAGGAATTTACCTTACAGATGACCACAAACATGGAAACATATCCAAAAAAAGTTCATTATGGCATTGTCTGTGATAGAAAACAATTAAAAATGGCTTAAATATAGGGGACGAGCTAAGTAAGGTAAGGCACATCTGTACAGAGGAGTGCTATGCAGCCATCAAGAGGCAGTACAACTGAAGTGAAGAATCAGATCATCTGGCTCAGAACTGGCTCCACCAGTGATGACCAGGTGACTCTGAGCAAGTTCCCAAACCTGCCTGGGCCTCGATCCCTCCTCTGTAAAAATGTGATAATTACAGTACTTACCACTGAGGACTACTGTGACCAAGGCAGTACCTGAACCATAGTAGAGGCTTAATCAATATTAGTTATCATCAGTTCAGAAAGTAGGACTCTTCAGACTGACTTGGAAAGGTGTCCAAGGTATATTGTCAAGTGAAAAGTGAAATTGCAAAAGAGTAGGTATAGAAAAATCCCATTTGGGAAAAATACTTTAAATATGCTTTCTGTTTACTATTTCCTCCCCTTAAACTATAAGCTCCTTGAAAGGGCCATTTGGTCACTGTTGTGTCCCCAGTGTCCATAATAGGCATTCAATAAATATGTGTTGACTGAAAGAATGATAACAAGTAGGCTAAGCAAGAAGAAATAATTAACAGTAGTTACTTGTAAGGAATGGTATGAAGGTGGAGGGGCTGGTGGGCCGTGGGAGGAATGTTACATTGGTTCTTACCCTTCTGTATGCTTAAATTTTTCACAATGAGCTTACACAACAAAAATAAAAGTTCACCTCTTAGTAGATAATGTTTTTGTTTACATGGAGCATCTTGAGATCTATGGTTGCCCCACTAACAGCAGACACAAGGGGAATCAAGGGATAATTCTCCCTATAAACTGATCAATTGATCCGCATCAGAAAGGTCACATCAGAAAGCAGTTTACAAAAGAAGAAAAGCACAGAGCTTCCTTTTTCTTCTTGGCTTTCCATTGATCTTTCCAAAGTTATTCCTACAATCTCCAAGCCAAACCTCTGCACCATTCCATCGGGACCCCTCTCCATTACTTAGATACTAACCACACACCCCACATGGCACCTTGGCTCAGGCCACTGTCTCCTTCTACGACATAATTTCCTTCATCTCCCCACCCCCCAATCTGCCCTTAAAGCACCAGATCACATGTGCCCTCCCCAGAGCCTTTTCTGATCTTTCCAGCACCTCTGATCCCTACCTCATGGGCACAACTAGAAACTAGGTTTGGTACCATCCACCTGCACTTATCCTACAATGTCTGCTACCTTCTCTCCCTGCTCATAGATTGCTTCGCTTGAGGTGAGCACTGTCAGGACTGTGTCTTCAGTTTTTCTTCTCCCTCTTTCTCTCTCCCTCACACACACACACACACCCTGGCACTATAAAAATGACAGTGCACATTAAGGACCTACATGTTGTGTCTTTTTTCCATTTGCCCAAAAGTTTCTGATACCAGAAAAAGTTCATGTGCCTTGTCACTTTCCCTGAAATTTCAAAGCTACAGAGGCCTGTCATTGGCTTACTAAAAATATTCTTGATAAATGCTTCTTTTTAAAACCTAAATTGTTTTAAAATGCTCTAGATTTTATGTACTATTTAATCAATTGATTTAATCAAACTACTTTCATAACTAATGACAAGGACAGAATGAGGAGTCGTCATGGGAGAAGGAAGGAGAAAGGATAAAGAAGGGCTATTACACGGTGCTGCCTCACATTTATCTCCTCCCCAGAAGCCATCGCAACACGAGTGTGTGTGTGTGCATGCAAGAGAGACTGGAAGAAAGAGATTCCAAGCTCTGACTCTTTATAATTTTGAAATATTTATTCACTTTAAGATGCAAGTGTCTTCTGCAGCTAAGTCTTTGGGTATTTAAATAAAAAATAATTTTATGGTGTCATAGAGTTACGTACTTAAAAATCACAGAGCATCAGATTCATTTGTCCCATCATTCAAAGTCCCAAATGTTTTTATCAACCTCAGGAATATAATATTACCAACTGTAGATGCCACGATTCCTCCATCTGGCTCTCTTGTCACCCACGCTTCCCCTTGACTCTCTCCCTCCCTTTAT